CATTCCCCTTCCTCACCCCTCTCCCTCTCTTCCTCACCCCTCCTCTTCCCTTACCCCCTCTCCCCTTTCCTGTGCCTGACCTTCTCATTTCAGGAAGTAGATAACCCCCACCCTTCCCCCTAACCCCCTCCTTCATAACCCCCAACCTTACATCTCTGTTTCGTGTGTGTTATCAGGTAGGACTGGTGTAACAAGCGGCTAACACTAACAACCCCCCTTGTGATCAACCAACACTTCTTGTGATCAACTAACACTTCTTGTGATCAACTAACACTCTTGTGATCAACTAACCCCCCTTGTGACAACTAACACCCTTGTGATCAACTAACACCCCTTGTGATCAACTACCCCCTGTGATCAACTAACTCACGCCCGCAGCCACAAAACAACAAACTCAGATAATCAGGACAACCATCAGAAAATCTAATTTGCTCAGTGAAGATTGCCACCACACACTAACTTGAAGCTGGTCGTATTTCTGGTCGGTCTCTGCCAGTAAGATAGACGTCGGGGTTATACTGGCGACGATTATACCCCCTCCTTTCCCCCATCTCCCTCCCCCCACGTCCCCCCAACACCCCCCACCACAACCTCCCCACTTCCTCCAACACCCCCCCACCACACCCCTCCCCTTCCCCACCACACCCCACTTCCACCCCCCCACAACAACCCCATTTCCCCCACACTCCACACCCCCACTCCCCCACACCTTCATCACCCCCTCCCACTTCCCTCGAGGTATATATGTGTCTGAGGGTGGGGTTGGAAGGTGATAGAGAACATGAGACGTTCCTAGGTTTTATAGGTGATGAGTTCTCCTCTCCCATCCTCCCCATTTTTGTACCCCCATCCTCCCCCCACCTAGGGATATATTGGGGTTAGGGACGACCTGGGGAACATTGAGTGGGGAGGGAAAGATAGAGTAAGCAACAGTGAGGTAATGTGGAGAGTTGAGAGGACTACTAGGTCGTGTGATAGACGGCGTGAAGAGTCATGTGGGTTTGTATGGTTTTGTAGCTCTGTCTGTCTCTGTCTGTCTCTGTCTGTCTGTCTGTCTGTCTGTCTGTCTGGCTGGTTGGCTGGTGTGTTAAAATAAGGTTTTATTATGTTTTGATTATAATTGTTGAAGGAAATTATGGATTTCAAATCATCTGAAAATTAGGCACCTTGACGCTAACCTAACCTAACCCAACTCTAACCTTACCTTGACCTGATTCAAACCCGATCTGACCTGATCAACTTTTCATCAGGGGTCCCTAATATTTTTCCACTCCTGTGAGTCTATTTTACCTGTGGGGGTTCATTTTTACCTGTGGATTAATTTTACCTGTAGGGGTTCATTTACCTGTGGAGGTTCATTTTACCTGTGAGTTCATTTTACCTGTGGGGTTCATTTTACCTTAGTAACCCATTAAACTTCTAGTAGCCCCTTAGTTAAACCCTTCACCCCTTTAACACACCCCTGGCTCCCAGGCTGAACCCACATCAGCAGTCTGCCTGTAAAGGGTAAAGAAACACGAGTTATTATTTATTTTATTTTACCTGTCCGTGAAGCTCCTATTGAGGTATGTGCGCGCGCGTGTTGTGTAGCGCGCATACCCGGTACGTTACACAGCCCCCGGAGCGTTGGGTTCTGGAACCCCCGACGAAGAATTAAGTTAAGGTGACGGGTGACTTAGTGGCGTGAGTCTGAACGGGGAACTTTACCAAAATGCTTCGTCCAGGGTTTCATAATGTAAGGCGCGGTGAGTGGAGTAACGCCACGGTGTCTGTACATACATCAAGTGATAAACATTTTCAAGGAGATAAAATTAACTTCATTGTGTATTGTAGCCACATACTTGACTTTTCCCTTCCCTTCCCCCCCCTTCTCTCTCCCTTTTATTTTATCCTCCTTCTTCTCTCACTCTTTCCCCTTTCTCATTCTTTCCTTCCTTCCCTCATTCTCTCTCTCTTCCTTCTCTCCACTTCCGTTCCCTCCTCCTCTCCCTTCTCTCTCCCTTCCCTTCTCCTCCCTTTCTCTCTCACTTCCCTTTCCTTCCTTTCTCTCCTCTTCCTTTAGTTCGTTCCCTTTTATCCTCCCTGCTCTCCTCCCCCTCCTTTTCTTCCTAATTCCCTCCTCTCCAGCAAAACACATTCCCTCATCTCCTCTATCTTCCCCTTCCTTCTCCCCCCTCCCCTCCCTCTCCCCAGTTCATCAAGTGTTGTCAAACAGTACCACACAGATGACCACCTCTCCACCCAAGATCACTACACCACTCTTGGTTGTATATCAAGAAGCACTGGAGGTCCTCTTGCTCCACTGCCTCTCACTCTTATTTTACCCATAAATACAAATAAGATCCCTTAATGTGGCGGGCTATGACGGTGGGGAGAGATGGAAGTGATGGATGATGGAGAGGAGAACGGAGGGTGACAAGAACAGGAGGTAGGGAGAACGAAGAGGGTGACAAGAACGGGAGGAGGGAAGAGGACAGAGGAGAACGAAGGAGGGAGGAGGCGGGCAGATGGGAGGAACAGCTTGTCACCCACCACCAGCAGGTAATTATTATATATGACTACAACACACAGCAGGTGGCCCGGGGTCTACCTGTACTCTACCTCAGGTCGATTGTAATCCTGTGTTCGAGAGGAGGGGGAAATGATCATTCTGAAACAGTTGCCGGTGTTGGATACGTCTATTGCACACACCTGAGAAACAGGTCCACCTGCACTGACTCCAGCCGCCTCCTCATCCACTAAACCACCTCCTCCACTCATCCACCTCCTCCACTACCCACTAAACCACCTCCTCCACTCATCCACCTCCTCCACTACCCAACAAACCACCTCCTCCACTACCCACTATACCACCTCCTCCACTCATCCACCTCCTCCACTACCCACTAAACCACCTCCTCCACTCATCCACCTCCTCCACTACCCACTAAACCACCTCCCTCCACTACCCACTATACCACCTCCTCCACTCATCCACCTCCCTCCACTACCCACCAAACCACCTCCTCCACCACTCCACTAAACCACCTCCTCCACTCATCCACCTCCTCCACTACCCACTAAACCACCTCCTCCACTCATCCACCTCCTCCAGTACCACTAAAACCACCTCCTCCACCATCCACCTCCAGTACCCACCAAACCACCTCCTCCACTCTCCACCTCCTCCTCCAGTACCCACTAAACCACCTCCTCCACTCATCCACCTCCTCCAGTACCCCACTAAACCACCTCCTCCACTCATCCACCTCCTCCCACTACACCCTATACCACCTCCTCCACTCCACTATACCACCTCCTCCACTCATCCCTCCTCCACTACCCACTAAACCACCTCCTCCACTCATCCACCTCCTCCCAGTACCCCACTAAACCACCTCCTCCCACTCATCCACCTCTCCAGTACCCACTAAACCACCTCCTCCCACTCATCCACCTCTCCACTACCCACTATACCACCTCCTCACTCATCCACTACCCACCTAAACCACCTCCTCCACTCATCCACCTCCTCCACTACCCACTAAACCACCTCCTCCCACTCATCCGAACAATTCAGTTCCCAATCAAACGTCCTGGGGAGGGGGGTATCGTCTCCGGCCTCTAAACTATGGCCGAACACACATAAATTAGATTATTTTCGGAATAAATTGCACACATTGCATAAATTTTGTTCAGATCTCTTTTTCTGTGTTGTATTTTTGTATATATTCTGGGAAATGTTTGGAGTTGATTGGTGTTAGTGAGGGTGTGAAGTGGGTGGGGAGGTTGGAGTGGGGAGGTGGGTGAGGTGAGGAGTGAGGGTGTGAGTGGGTGGGAGGTTGTAGTGGGAGGTGTGTGAGGTGGGTGGGGTGGGTGGTGGTGCGGATGGGTGTGTGAAGTGGGTGGGGAGGTTGTGGGTGGGAGGTGTGTGGTGGGTGGGTGTGTGGTGGGTGGGAGGTGTGTGAGAGTGGGTGGGGTGAGTGGAGTGAAGTGGTGTGTGAGAGTGAGTGGGGAGGTTGTGGGTGGGGGGTGTGTGAATTGAGGTGGGTGGGGTGGATGCGTGCAGTGGGTGGGGTGGATCGTCCGGTGGGTGGGGTGGATGCGTGCAGTGGGTGGGGTGGGTGTGTGAGAGTGGGTGGGGAGACATCACACCACTGGCATTACCTGCTCGGTCGCCTCCTACATCCGGGTCATTTTTTAACGAGGAATTACTCTATGAGGGTGATCAGAGTGATGGAATATGACATGACCCTTCAAACATAAGGTCAAATGATTGCTTTCTCGAGGGACGGGTTAGGTTAGGTGAGGGTGTTAGAATTAGGTTAGCTTTGGTTAGGTTAGGTTAGGGATTATACGCAACCGAGGCAGGAAGTGCGGTGTGGGGAGGTAGGTGAGGTGGTAGGTACAGCTAAATGGAATTTGTGGTGATTGGATCAAGATTCTGTAAACATGGCAGCATAATTGAGGAAACAGGAGGCCGCGGGTAAATAGTCCCTCACCGTGCCTCCTGTCTCTCTTATACTGGCATCGTAACGTGGCATCAGCCTCCCCTCCCTCCTGGCACTCTCTCCCTCCTGGCACTCTCCTCCCCTCCCTCCTGGCACTCTCCTCCCTCCTCCTGGCACTCTCTCCTCTCCCTCCCTCCTCTCCCTCCCTCCTTCTCCTTCCCCTTCTCTCCCTCCCTCCCTCCCTCCCTCCCTCCTCCTCCCTCCCTGGCACTCTCCTTCCCTCCCTCCTTCTACTTCTACTCCTTCCCTCTCTCCCTCCTGGCACTCTCCTTCCCTCTCTCCCCCTGGCACTCCTCACCCTCTCAGGCTTGTTGCTGCTACTGCCCTCACCACCCGACCCGACCCGACCTGACCTGACTTGACCCGACCAAATCAGACCCGGCAAATCTCACCAGATCCTTCACCGACTCGGAAATATTTTGATTCAAACCGACCCGACCCCAGCGAGCCGAGCCGGCTGACCCCAGCCGACCCGACCCCAGCCGACCGACCCCAGCCGACCCGACCCCCTCAGCCAGAGCCTGACCCGACCCCAGCCAGAGCCGAGCCGAGCCCGAAGCCGAGCCAGGCCGACCCCACCCCACCCGACCGACCCGACCCAGCCAACCCGACCTGACCCGACCCCAGCAACCGACCCGACCCCAGCCAACCCGACCCGACCCCCAGCCCAGCCGAGGTCGACCCAACCCCAGCTGACCCGACCCGACCCCAGCCGACCCGGCCCGACCCGACCCCCAGACTGAGCCGACCCGACCCCCGGCCGAGCCGAGCCGACCCGACCCCAGCCGAGCCGAGCCGACCCGACCCCAGCCGAGCCGAGCCAGACCCGAGCCCCGGCCGAGGCCGGAGCCGACCCGACCCCAGCCGAGCCAGCCGGCCCATTAGCCGAGCCGAGCCGAGCCGGCCCCAGCCGACCCGAGCCGACCCGGCCCAGCCGGCCGAGCCGACCCGACCCCAGCCGGCCCGACCCGACCCCAGCCGACCCGAGCCAGACCCCAGCCAGGCCGACCCAGCCGACCCGACCCCAGCCGAGCCGACCCCCATCTCCAGGAGCCAACCAATCGTGTCCGACCTTCCGTTAAGCTTTTTCCGCTTTCCTCTCTTCCACCGCCTCTTCCCTCCTCTTCCACTCCCTCTTCCACCCCCTCTTCCACCGCCTCCATTCCCTGCCTTTAGTCTTCCCTCTTCTCCGTCCTTCCCTTCCTTTTATTCCCTCCTTCCTTTCCTTTCGTTCCTTAATTTTTTTCATTCCTTCCTGTTCACTTCCTCCGTCACTCGTACCCTTCCTTCATCCCTCCCTCCTTTCTTCCTTCCCTCTTTCCTTCATTCTTTCTCCCTCCTCCCTTACCCCCCCTCCTTCTTCCCTCCTCCTTCCTTCCTCGACCCAATCCAACACACCTGACCCTCCGTCCTCTCTCCTCCGTCCTCCCCCCTCTCTCTCTCTCTCTCTCTCTCTCTCACAGCGGGGGCAGTGTGGGCGTTTAGTGGGTACGCAGGATGATTACAGGTGATTAATTAGCAATGCTATCTGCCACTCTACACCTGGATGGAGAAGATTATTAACTTTCTCATTAACCTCACGGCTATATTACCTGTGTAGAGAGAGAGAGAGAGAGAGAGAGAGTAAAGGAGACAGACAGACAGACAGACAGACAGACAGACATAGGAACGGAATAAGGAAAAACAGTAAGAATAGAAGATGAGAGGGAGGGGTATAATAAATGGAGGGAGGGAGAGATGAAATGGAGGAGGAGGGAGGAAGGGGGTAGCATATATCAGGGTCAAGTCGCCATTTTGAATACAGTGAATAAATCAATCCCCATCGTTCCTTAACCCTTGAGAATCAACCCGTGTTTAGTGTGAGTATTTTTGAGTGGAAATAACCTTAAAACCTAATCTAACCAAACCAAACCAAACCAAACCTAATCTAACCAAACCTAACCTAACCAAACCAAACCAAACCAAACCAAACCTAGTCTAGCAAACCAAACCTAATCTAACCAAACCAAACCTAACCAAACCAAACCAAACCTAATCTAACCAAACGTAACCTAACCTAACCCTTCAAATGTTTATATACATTAATATATAAATTAATGAGGAGAAGTGGTACAGGTAGAGGTGTGTCATCTTCACTACAGAATCTAATTAAACGTATGAATGGATGCAAGGTGAGGTAAGGTAAGGTAGCAGGGTGTGGTAAGTGTGAGTGAGTGTGTGTGAGGAGAGGTGTGTGGTGTGTGGTGAGGTGGGAGGTGAGTTGTGGTGAGGTGTGGTGAAAGGTGAGGTGAGTTGTGGTGAGGTGTGGTGAAGGGAATGAGGTGTGGTGAAGGGTGAGGTGTGTGGTGAGGTGTGGTGTGTGGTGAAGGGTGAGGTGTGGTGTGTGGTGAGGGGTGGAGTGTGTGGTGTGGTGTGAGGTGAAGTGTGAGGTGAGTTGTGGTGAGGTGTGAGGTGTGCTGAGGTGAGTTGTGGTATGGTGTGGTGAAGAGGGTGAGTGTGGTGTGGTGGTGAGGTGGTGTGTGGTGTGGTGTGAGGTGAAGTGTGTGTGGTGTGGTGTGAGTGAGGTGTAAATGTATCTAATGTGAATCTTCTAAGGAAGTTTGAGAGACTCAGCTAGGTGGTGGAGCCTTGTAGGGGCCTATAGGGTAGGATGGCCTGTGGAATCTTCTGCTTTCTTTACGTAACGTCCGTACCACCCCATCCTCCTCGTACCATCCGTCCGTACCACCCCCCACCTCCCTCACATTACCATCCGTCCGTACCACCCACCTCCCTCACGTACCATCCGTCCGTACCACCCATCCTCCCTCGTACCATCCGTCCGTACCACCCCATCCTCCCTCACGTACCATCCGTCCGTACCACCCCATCCTCCCTCACGTACCATCCGTGCCACCCCATCCTCCCCTCACGTACCATCCGTCCGTACCACCCACCTCCCTCGTACCATCCGTCCGTACCACCCCACCTCCCTCACGTACCATCCGTCCGTACCACCCCACCTCCCTCACGTACCATCCGTCCGTACCACCCCACCTCCCTCACGTACCATCCGTCCGTACCACCCATCCTCCTCACGTACCACCATGTCAACCACCCTCCTCCCTCACGTACCATCATTCCGTACCACCCCACCTCCCTCACGTACCAACCGTCCGTACCACCCTCCTCCCTCACGTACCATCCGTCTGTACCACCCCATCCTCCCTCACGTACCATCCGTCCGTACCACCCCACCTCCCTCATACCATCCGTCCGTACCACCCCACCTCCCTCACGTACCATCCGTCGTACCACCCACCTCCCTCACGTACCGTCCGTAACAAGTAACAAGAAGAAAACGATACATTTCCGCTCATCTTTTGAGTGTTCGTTGCTATATCACAACAAAGGTCTTCAAAGTTCGTAGTCAATAATCAACATTCCTTCTTGTCACCTTCTCGAGTTATGGCGGGGCGGGGCAGGAAGGGTGGGCTGGGAACGAGGGAGGTAAGGAAGAGAACGACCACCTCTATTTAATCTTGTATTGTACGAGATTTAGCTCAAGTGACTGCCTTTACTGACCTTCCCTAGTGATGTTTTGTGTGGTAAGAGTTTTTTGTTAGTGTGGTCGATGGGGAGGTAGAGTGGGGTAGTGAGTGGCGAAGCACTTAAGAGACACCCGGTAGGAACCCAGCAGGCGGAATCCATCAACGCTGTGATAGGTTAATCTTCCCCCCACTCCTCCCTCCTCCTCCCTCCCCCCCTCCCCCCTCTCATTCTCTCTCCCCTCCTCTCATCCTCTCTCCCCGCCCTTCCGTCGTCTCCTCCTCGACTTTCTATTAATATATTTACATTGAGACTCCCACCTTCCCATTCCCCCCGCCCCTTCCCTTCCTCACCTCCGCCCCTTCCCTTCCTCACCTCGCCCTTCCTCACCTCCGCCCTTCCTCACCTCCGCCCTTCCTCCTCCCCCCCTCACCTCCGCCCTTCCTCACCTCCGCCCTTCCTCACCCTCCGCCCCTTCCCTTCCTCCACCTCCGCTCCTTCCCTTCGTCACCCCTTCCCCTCCCACCCCTTCCCAGTCTCACCGCTACCCCTACCACTATCCATTCCTCCTCCACCCCTTCTTCCCTCCTTCCCCTACCCTTCCTAAACCCCCTTCCCTACCCCTCTACCCCTTCCCTACCCTCTACCCCTTCCCCCTCTAAGAACACCAAACTCTGCGACACCCACCCACGCCCCCCCACACCCACCCGCCCCCCACACCCACCCACCCACCCACGCCCCCACACACACACTGTTCATTAACCGTACAATGCCATCAACAAATCCTGTTATGTAGCCTTGACAATAGCGAGGAAGACAGCGGGCTTATGCTTCCCTGATGACCGCCACGATAAAACTTCAACAGCTAACTTTGGAGAGAGAGTGTGTGTGTGTGTGTGTGTGTGTATGTATGTTGCCTGGCACTGTGTATGACCTGGCACTTGTGGATGGTGGTAGAGACGGATATGGATGGTGGTAGACGTAGACATAGATAGTGGTAGGTACAAACATGTGTACAGGTGCTGATAGTGGTGGTAGTTGTAACTGTGAATGGTGGTAGACGTAAATTTTTATTACGAATGGATAGTGGTAGGTTGTTATAACGTCTGTGGTTAACACGTGAACTCATACTGAGTTACACGAGTATGAGTTACACGAGTATGAGTTACACGAGTATGAGTTACACGAGTATGAGTTACACCAGTATGAGTTACACGAGTATGAGTTACACGAGTATGAGTTACACGATATGAGTTACACCAGTATGAGTTACACGAGTATGAGTTACACCAGTATGAGTTACACCAGTATGAGTTACACCAGTATGAGTTACACCAGTATGAGTTACACCAGTATGAGTTACACCAGTATGAGTTACACCAGTATGAGTTACACCAGTATGAGTTACACCAGTATGAGTTACACGAGTATGAGTTACGAGTATGAGTTACACGAGTATGAGTTACACCAGTATGAGTTACACCAGTATGAGTTACACCAGTATGAGTTACACCAGTATGAGTTACACCAGTATGAGTTACACCAGTATGAGTTACAACCAGTATGAGTTACACCAGTATGAGTTACAACCAGTATGAGTTAACGAGTATGAGTTACACCAGTATGAGTTACACGAGTATGAGTTACACGAGTATGAGTTACACGAGTATGAGTTACACGAGTATGAGTTACACGAGTATGAGTTACAGAGCAGTATGAGTTACACCAGTATGAGTTACACCAGTATGAGTTACACGAGTATGAGTTACACCAGTATGAGTTACACGAGTATGAGTTACACCAGTATGAGTTACACCAGTATGAGTTACACCAGTATGAGTTACACCAGTATGAGTTACACCAGTATGAGTTACACCAGTATGAGTTACACCAGTATGAGTTACACCAGTATGAGTTACACCAGTATGAGTTACACGAGTATGAGTTACACGAGTATGAGTTACCGAGTATGAGTTACACGAGTATGAGTTACAATGAGTATGAGTTACACGAGTATGAGTTACACGAGTATGAGTTACACGAGTATGAGTTACACGAGTATGAGTTAACGAGTATGAGTTAACGAGTATGAGTTACACGAGTATGAGTTACACCAGTATGAGTTACACCAGTATGAGTTACACCAGTATGAGTTACACGAGTATGAGTTACACCAGTATGAGTTACACCAGTATGAGTTACACCAGTATGAGTTACACACAGTATGAGTCACCAGTATGAGTTACACCAGTGAGTTACAATGAGTATGAGTTACACCAGTATGAGTTACACCAGTATGAGTTACACCAGTATGAGTTACACCAGTATGAGTTACACCAGTATGAGTTACACCAGTATGAGTTACACCATCGCTCATAAGAAGTTACATGTTAAGTGAGTTTATTATTTATGTTCTCCGTCAGTGAGTTAGTTATCTCCGTCAGTGAGTTAGTTATCTCCGTCAGTGAGTTAGTTATCTCCGTCAGTGAGTTAGTTATCTCCGTCAGTGAGTTAGTTATCCTCCGCGAGTTAGTTATTTCCGTCAGTGAGTTAGTTATCTCCGTCAGTGAGTTAGTTATCTCCGTCAGTGAGTTAGTTATTCCGTCAGTGAGTTAGTTATCTCCGTCAGTGAGTTAGTTATCTCCGTCAGTGAGTTAGTTATTCCGTCAGTGAGTTAGTTATCTCCGTCAGTGAGTTAGTTATCTCCGTCAGTGAGTTAGTTATTCCGTCAGTGAGTTAGCTATTCCGTCAGTGAGTTAGTTATCTCCGTCAGTGAGTTAGTTATCTCCGTCAGTGAGTTAGTTATCTCCGTCAGTGAGTTAGTTATCTCCGTCAGTGAGTTAGTTATCTCCGTCAGTGAGTTAGTTATCTCCGTCAGTGAGTTAGTTATCTCCGTCAGTGAGTTAGTTATCTCCGTCAGTGAGTTAGTTATTCCGTCAGTGAGTTAGTTATCTCCGTCAGTGAGTTAGTTATCTCCGTCAGTGAGTTAGTTATCTCCGTCAGTGAGTTAGTTATCTCCGTCAGTGAGTTAGTTATTCCGTCAGTGAGTTAGTTATCTCCGTCAGTGAGTTAGTATTCCGTCAGTGAGTTATATTCCGTCAGTGAGTTAGTTATCTCCGTCAGTGAGTTAGTTATCTCCGTCAGTGAGTTAGTTATTCCGTCAGTGAGTTAGTTATCTCCGTCAGTGAGTTAGTTATCTCCGTCAGTGAGTTAGTTATCTCCGTCAGTGAGTTAGTTATCTCCGTCAGTGAGTTAGTTATCTCCGTCAGTGAGTTAGTTATTCCGTCAGTGAGTTAGTTATCTCCGTCAGTGAGTTAGTTATCTCCGTCAGTGAGTTAGTTATTCCGTCAGTGAGTTATCTCCGTCAGTGAGTTAGTTATCTCCGTCAGTGAGTTAGTTATCTCCGTCAGTGAGTTAGTTATCTCCGTCAGTGAGTTAGTTATCTCCGTCAGTGAGTTAGTTATCTCCGTCAGTGAGTTAGTTATCTCCGTCAGTGAGTTAGTTATCTCCGTCAGTGAGTTATCTCCGTCAGTGAGTTAGTTATCTCCGTCAGTGAGTTAGTTATCTCCGTCAGTGAGTTAGTTATTCCGCAGTGAGTTAATTATTCCGTCAGTGAGTTAGTTATCTCCGTCAGTGAGTTAGTTATCTCCGTCAGTGAGTTAGTTATCTCCGTCAGTGAGTTAGTTATCTCCGTCAGTGAGTTAGTTATCTCCGTCAGTGAGTTAGTTATTCCGTCAGTGAGTTAGTTATCTCCGTCAGGTGAGTTAGTTATCTCCGTCAGTGAGTTAGTTATCTCCGTCAGTGAGTTAGTTATCTCCGTCAGTGAGTTAGTTATCTCCGTCAGTGAGTTAGTTATTCCGTCAGTGAGTTAGTTATTCCGTCAGTGAGTTAGTTATCTTCAGTGAGTTAGTTATCTCCGTCAGTGAGTTAGTTATTTCCGTCAGTGAGTTAGTTATCTCCGTCAGTGAGTTAGTATTCCGTCAGTGAGTTAGTTATCTCCGTCAGTGAGTTAGTTATTCCGTCAGTGAGTTAGTTATTCCGTCAGTGAGTTAGTTATCTCCGTCAGTGAGTTAGTTATTCCGTCAGTGAGTTAGTTATTCCGTCAGTGAGTTAGTTATCTCCGTCAGTGAGTTAGTTATCTCCGTCAGTGAGTTAGTTATTCCGTCAGTGAGTTAGTTATCTCCGTCAGTGAGTTAGTTATCTCCGTCAGTGAGTTAGTTATTCCGTCAGTGAGTTATTCCTCAGTGAGTTAGTTATCTCCGTCAGTGGTTAGTATTCAGTGAGTTAGTTATCTCCGTCAGTGAGTTAGTTAAATATTTATGGGTGTGTTTTCCTGAAGGAATATGCGGTAAAATATGTCGCCGCTTTTGAGTCGTATTCAAGGCGGAGGTCCCGATAAATCGATAACTTTTAAGCATAAGTAAGATTATTCCTTGACGGAGAAGGAAGTGAGGTAGGAGGGAGGGAGGTGGAGCAAGCGTGAGAGGAAGGAGGAGGAAAGGAGAGAGAGAGAGAGAGAGGGAGGAGGAGGAGGAGAGAGAGAGAAGAAGAGAAGGGGGAAATAGGGGGAGGAGGGAAGGAGAAAGAGGAGGAAAAGGGAAAGAGGAGGAGGGAGATGACAGCTGCAGCGGGACCCGCCTCGAACCTCCAGAGCCCGGCCTTACCACCCCACATTTTCGTTCTCCAGGATGAACACCACACTTGTTGACTTACTATATGTTTACTCCAGGATGAACACCACACTTGTTGAGATATAAATTAGAGTGACCACAGAAACCGGTGGGTGGGGGGTGTGTGTGTGGGGGTGGAGTGTGTGTGTATGTGGGGGGTGGGTGGTGTGGGTGGGTGCGTGCGTGTGTTTGGTGGGTGGGTGGGTGGGTGTTTGGGTGTTTTTTTTATTATTATTATTTATTGGGCACTCCCCTACATCCTTGTGTAAGGTGAAGCGCAGAAGCGTTTACAGCGCCCAAGAGGGAAGCATGCTAAGTTCATGCTTGCCTTTATGTCTCATGAGTTAAGGGCGTATGTGTGTGTGTGTGTGTGTGTGTGTGTGTGTGTGTGTGTGTGTGTAGGTCAACACGTGATGTTTTCAGTGAAGGGTTTATCGTCAATGTAATTTACAGGGTCGTCCAAGTGTGAATTTTGTGTCGATTGTTGATGACACGAAATTAGGACAAAACTGCAAGAGGAAAAAAAATTCACTAAGAGTTGTGCTGACTTTTGGGATTCAGTCGTCTGGTGGTGTGTACAGTCGCCTTCACTTACACCTGGTACAGTGGCTGGCGGGTATGGTGAGATGTGGCACCGCTGTGGAATGCTTATTTAGTCTGGTTATACTATTGTGAGGGTTCTTAGGGGCCATATTAGGAGTTTTAATACGATGTCAACAAACACAGATATGCCACATCTCACAAAGCATGCCAAACACTGTACCCATCTTGGTGTTCATAAAGCGATCACAAATGGAACATGAATCAGCTGTTGCTGCTCTCAGTGTTCAGAAATACAATTATGCAAACACTAGGCCACACTGTACCTAAAACTCTCATGGCCTAACTTCCCCATGGCCCACCTCTCATGGCCCAACCCCCCATGGCCCACCTCTCATGGCCCAATCCCCCATGGCCCACCTCACATGACCCACTTCTCCCACAGCAAACCCACCTCTCACACCTAACTTGTAAAACACACCCCATGTTTAATCATTCACTTACAATTCATGGCCTGGCCTTGACACAGCCGAGTGAGTATTATTCGCTGGTTATGCATTATCCCTCCTCCAGGTAAACCATCCATCAGTCACATAAGACGAACATTGAGGTTAACTAAACGTAGCCAATAATATGTCAAGGTTGTTAGTGAGGCAGGTATATATTTTGTCACCTTGATAATTAAGTCAACCAGGTGTGTGTGTGTGTGTGTGTGTGTGTGTGTGTGTGTGTGTGTGATTGGTTTATAGGGTATTTTATGGGCCGGTTTAGGGGGTGTTTGGGGGCTGGTTTAGGTTTCAGGGACCAGTTTACGGGTTTCAGGGGCCGATTAAGGTGTTTCAGGGCCGATTTACGGGTTTCAGGGCCGGTTTAAGGTGTTTCAGAGGCCGGTCTAGGGGTGTTTCAAGGGCCGGATTAGGGTTTTAGGGAAATGTGATATACTTTTAATTACCTCTGACTAATTTTGTGAGTGATACAAGATGCTGGAGGTAAACTCGAGTTAGGATGTGACCTCTGCTTGTTAGAACGTGACCTCTGACTGTTAGCATGTGTCCTCTGACTGTTAGCATGTGACCGCATGTGACCTGACTGTTAGCATGTGACCTCTGACTGTTAGCATGTGACCTCTGACTGTTAGCATGTGACCTCTGACTGTTAGCATGTGACCTCTGAATGTTTTGATATTACTTCTGGCTGTTAGGATTTGCCCTAGCTGTTGGGATGTGACCTGGTTGTTGGAATGTGACCTCTGCCTCGGGTTAATGTCACCGTATTTGTGTCTGTATTAATATTACCATGTACCGACTATTGTTACATAATTTATTAATGAATATATTTACTTAATTGGTCATTAGCT